TATATATATATATATTTATATATGTATATATTTATATATGTATACATATACCAATATCAATTAAATTAATAGACATTAAATTAAAAAAAACTAATATTATTTATGATTTAATGTATTGAACAAACCTTTATTATAATTAAATTTTTAATGAAATATTAATTAAATTATTATAATTTAATGGAAGAAATTGAATATGCAAACTCTAATTTATAAAATTAAATCAACATTAGTAATTGATAGAAGTATATTAAAAGACGTTGATCCTAAGTAATTGATTTAGTGAATCCCATGAAGTTGTAGCATGGGAAAGTGGGCGGTAGGATGGGGAAGAAAGACGAGGGTTACTTTCCTCAAAGGTTTTTGGGTGGGATCATAGAAGAAGGAGTTTCGAAGGTCTTTGTATGCCACAATTTTGTCATTGCCTTCCCAACAAGTTATATCGCAAGGCTCCAACATAACTGATAGCTAGACATTCTTCCTTGGATTTTTTTAGGCTTTATAAATCTTCACTTAGAATAAACTATGTTGGAGGTACATCCAAGTTCAACTTTGTTCATCCTAAATCTTTGTGGTTCCTTCAAGTTCTTTGATTGTTCATATTTGAGTTTTAGTTCAAGTTCAGGTTTGCTTGCGGTTCATCCTTTTAGTTCGAAGCTCATCCTTAATGCGGGGTTCATCCATACTTTACTATTCATTCTAGCTTTGATGTTTATCCTTGATTTAATTTGAGGTTCATTCTTAAGCTCCATTATTGAGTGGGCCCAACTTTAGACTTCCCATAAAAACTAACCAACAAAGAACTAGCTGACTCAACTAACTCTACTAACAAACTAGATTGCAAGAAAATAAATCTTACGTTTACTATGGCCCTACAAGATATATGTCAGCACAAAACAACCCACCACAAACACATCGAGCTGAAATACTAAATGAACTTAGCACTACAGTACCTTACCCCCTGACTTACTAGGTTGTGCTTAGGGGCATAATTGTAGAACTTGTAAGAAAAACAAGCATTTATATTTTATTATAATTTTTAGCAGTTGTCCCACTAAGCACACCCCCCTACACAAACTAACTATTAAAATTACTAAATTAGTCTCCCTAACATTCAGTTTAATGTACAAGACACTCACAATCACCAAAAAAAATACCACTAATCACAATCAAAGACACAATCGTTCTAACCTGAGGTTAGATTGGTGAAATAATAAAATCATCTAAAGTGAGGGTGATTAGTGTGGGGAGCCATCATGCTAGGCATTGTGATTCATGTTTTATTTTAATTTAATATTTAAGTTCTATCAAAGTGGGGTGTAATCCAATTTTTTGTATTTTAAATAATTTATTTATTTTTAGAAATTTTTATATTGATTTTTTCATTTCAACCGTTAAGTTATACTTTAAACATATATATATATATATATATATATATATATATATATTAATGAACATTTTAATTTCATAAAATGCTCAAAATTATCTTGATGAAAGAGGATTTTGGATTTTATAAGATATAATATTAATTAATATTTTGATTTTTCTATATTTGGTGATTTTTAAGTATTTATTTATTATGACAAATTCATTTATTTTGTATTTTTCAAATTTTGTGAGCATTGTAATATGAATGTGTTCGAAAATTCATGAGATTAATTTGAAAGATTAGAAATGATATCACATGTTTTTAATATGTGTTTTGGGATTTATTAAATTTTTGTCAATGTTTAATTATTATTTAAATTTTTAATGTGGTTTTTATTCTAAAAAATTATGTAAACTTAATTGACTTTCAAAATTTATGAAAATTTACATGATTGTTCAAAATAACCATCTAAACATACCATAAAATTTTAAAATAATTTGATTTTAAATAAACTTATTATGATTTATTAAATTTAATTAATGATTTAATTATTTAAATTTTATTTTAATCAAAATGACTTGGGATTATTTTTAGCTTTTTTTTTTCTCTTATGAGAGCCATTTGGTAAAAATTTGATGATATTTGGAGTTTTAATGAAATTGTTTTAAACTTTTAAATTTATGCTCATTTATTTGAATTATTTAAATGAAATTATATTTCTCTTTTAATTAACTAATTAAAATTTTCTTAACTTCTCTTTAGCCTCTTTGTTTGCTGATTTTAAGTGTTTGGGATTCAATAATGTTAAAATATCCACTTTCAAATTTGTTCTTTAAAAAAAAATTAAATGTTAATTTCAATTATTTAGGTATCAAAATAATTTAATTAATTTTTTTTGGAATTTGAAAAACATCAAAGTAAGGCTCATTAGTTTTTAAGAAAATTGGAGGGATATTTGTATTTATTCAATGATGTTTCCATGAAATTTACTTCTTAATTTGGTTGTTATTAATTTATTACTATTTATTTTTTTATTTATTTAATTACAACTATTTCATTGAGTTCATATTCTTATTTTATTTCTCATAAATTCCATTCCATTTGTTGAATTCGTTGCATTTTTAATTTTTTTAATTATTTAGTTATAATTTTTTAAAGTTTTATTTATTTGTTATTAATTTATTAAGGGATAAGTGATTTACAAGTGGTCATGCATTGCTGGACAACGTTAGGTCAACTTTGAACATCTGGCAAATTTTGGTCATGGGCTAATCATAGGCTCTAAAAAAAATATGTGGGAAAGTTGATGAATCATACATCTAAATGGATTAAAGATGGCTATTTTTAAAACACAAAAATGAACAATATTTATTCATGTCCTTGGCCAAATGGAGATCGATTTTTGTTAATAAAGACAAATGATCGATATAAACGAGACAACAAACTGCAAACCAACACAACCAAAACAGTTAGGATAACTCAACATACATCATGGGGCTAAACTATCATAGATTGACAATTCGCTTATCCAAAGACTAAGATCGAGAGGCCCATACTTAGTTTTTAGATATACCTTTATTGGATGGGAAAACCTTTGCAATTTATTGGTCTTGAACAATCATCTAGCTTCCATAACACATCTCAGTGGTCAACAACAAGCTCTAGATGCATGATGCATGAGCTCAATCAAGGTGGTGCACAGAGGTGGTGTAATAGTAAGTTGGGAAGCTTAATTGGTGGGAAATTAATCGGAAAGTGTTCCAATAACTTGGTGAATCTTTTTGAATAAAAAGAGATCAAGATAAACAAGTGTATGATGGGAATTAAGAGTGTCACGCTGTTTATG